AGCAATTGCATTGTGCATCACCTGCTTTGTGTATTCTTCTATTATTACTGTTATTATTATTCTATTTTATTTCAATTATCAAACTGTTCTTACATGAACCCACAAGTTTTCTCACTTTTACTCTTCCAATTCTCTCCTCCATCCCACCGGGGGGAGTGAGCGAGCGGCTGCGTGGTGCTTAGTTACCAGCTGGGGTTAAACCACAACAGCTTTCCTTCTACACTATCAAAGTACAGTTATGGGAAGGACTACACAGCCAAGACTTAGGACAGCATGGGGAAATTTGTATTTTTCTATTACGTCTGCTGTACCAGTTACGTGGACAGAAGACTTCAGTCTCTAGTTCATCCTATAGTTGCCAGGAGTGTTTAGGCCACCCTGCATACCTTGTTTTTGCTGGCCATTCCTGGTAGGTGTTCCAAGGGTGGTTTTTTTGGTTGGGTTTTGTTGTTGTTTTGGGTTTGGTTGGTTGGTTTGGGGTTGTTTTAGGGTTTTTTTGGTTGGTGGTGGTATTTGGTTTTTGAGGGTTTTTTTTGTTTGTTTGCTTTTAAGAAAAAGTAAAAATGAAAGAGTCCCTAGTGCTTCTCTTGGGGTAGGAAGGGAAAGACATAGAAAATAGTTCATTTTCCCATTAGAGGGTATCAAGGGAAAGTGAATTTGTAGGTAAGTTATCCATGATCCCCCCCATCAGAGGAAACTTGTCCCATCTTGCAAATACTGCTAGCTTTACAGCTGTAATTATAGCTTCAGGTACAGATCCCCGATTAAGACAGTAAAAAACCAGATGTTGTCTTAATTAATATGGATCGAGTGTACTTACCAACAGCGTGTCCAAATCAAGAGGAACCTTAGCAACTTTTAGCAGTAGGAAAAAAGGTGTTACTGGATCTAAGAAACAGAACAAAGAGAGAGTCAACATCACATTTGTTTCATGCAATTCCAGCAACAGTGTTTACATTGTAATTCAGAAATAAGGAATCTCAGATATGTTTACATTAGGCCAACTCCATCACCTTTCCACAATTTCCTCTTATTTAAATAACAAAACTCAAACTACTTTTTTTTTTTCCTTCCCCCAGGATTTTTCCCCAGAGCATGTTCTCTTTCTACCTACTCATCTCTGTCTTCATGCAACAGATAAGAAGGGTGCAAAACCTTTCTTATGGGTATTCCAAGACACAGAGATGTTCACATCCTGAATTTTATGTTTCTAGCAAAAAAATCCATATAAAGTCATAGAAAATGATTATTTCAGATGTTAGGTTCCAGGCTGTGCTTAAACAGCAGGGAGGAAGGGGTGCAATGATTTTTTTAATGTCAGAGAACAAAACACAGACTCTAAACTGTTTATATACTTGTGGTTCTCTATTCCTTCCGGGCTTCTACACAAAGGTTTGAAGGAAAAGGGAGAAAGGCAGGAAGTACTGGTGATGCCTTTTCAACGGCTGTCCAGCTTTTCCAGAGGAAGAAAAAGGATCATTTTGTGGATTCTCTTTACACCCGCATCTGGGACCCACACCACTGAGTCCCAAGAGCAGCTCTGCAGGTCATAATAGGAAAATTGCTTTTCTACTGGACAGTGTCAGACCTACAAGCATGTCATTATATGACTGTTAAGAGCTACAACCTAAAGGTGACTTTACTGTACTAACAAGGACATAGCATTTATGCTAAATGACCTATATCAAACCCCAAAATATTATAACATTTATATATGCGCAGTCTCCTGGGGTGCAACATCAAAGAAATTCTTCTATCGAACCATCTAGGCAAGAGAGAGACCTTATGGCACACACTCATGCAACTCAAATTTTTCACTAAATGAGAAAGTGAATTTCCAAGTCTAGAGTCCTCCAATATGAATGCTATTGCATATAAGACACGGAAATGCAGACACAATGAAATCAAGCATCTCACTGGATTTCCACTGCCAGGTTAATCAAACAAGACTGCTCTGAGTAAACGCAGCAATTTGGGCAAACTAACTATGCAGGGCTGCAGAGGGCAGCGTCAACATGTTCAATTGCATTTGGAGGAGAACTAGCAGCTTTTTTTTTTTTTTGAGTTTGGAACTAAAAAAAATAATTATTACTGCACAGCTCAGAGCAGCTGTTTTTATTCGCTAACATTTCTGAGCAATTTTCAAGCTTTCTGTGCATTTGGCTTCAGTTGCTGCTAAGATAAACATACTGATCCCACTCCAGGTTCACGCCTCAAAATACCAGCCAGCACTCAGTAACAACCACAATTAAGTAGAAAATTAGTACTGGCAAACAAACCTGTCAGAAAAGGAGCTGTGCCCAGCCCAGGGGTCCCTCCCATTAAATGATGCAAACCTGTGGCCACCAGCTGTTGTAATAAACAGATACAGAGCAGGTATGGAATATTCTACAATAGCCAACTCAGAAAGCCCTCCATTTCTGCAGACATTGAGTTTCTTTTCTCTTCCTCTAGCTGTTTAGTCCATCTGATTTTATTCTCTGTCACTGGTGGTGTTGAACAACTAGGGACCTCAGCCACTTCTGAACTAGCTGTCCAAGGGAAGCAGTTCAAGCACACTTTGGTCAGGATAGGTGAAACCCGTCTTGCCTTAGATTCTAGACTCAAGCTTCTTACACCCCAAGCATTTTACAGCTGTAATACTCAAGGCTGTTACATCTGATCCACAAAAGTTAATCAGTCCTAATACCACTTCAGGGACAGATTTTACCATGGCTCCTATTCTAAAGATCCACATTGCTGTAACAAGAGATGCTGGCAGAAGCTGGTTAAAAACTGGTAAATCATTAACTGCCCACAAGCTAAAAAGATGAAGCAAAGAAGGAGGGGAAGAAAAAAAAAAAAAAAAAGGCATTTACTAGAAACATAATTCAGTGATGAGTAAAGCCAGTTCTGTTCCCTTGCATGGCCTTGAGAAGACCATGGTCTGGCAACCACCGCTGTTCTGTGAAGCCCTGCAGGAGGGAGATCACAGTAAGTACAATTTATAAACAAATGCTTTCTGAAACTTTCCACAACAGTATTATCAGTTTAAAAAATTATTAGGGGTTTTGGATAACTGACCACCAGAAACAGGAGACCAACATCTGTCCTGTCTCAAGATAACTGGAAGTAACTGATACAGAATCAGTGCCACCAGGCAATTTTTTTCTTCCAGAAATCAATCACAGAGTTCCAAGTTCTACAAAACTCCTATTAAAAATTAAATCCAGACATAAAGGATTAGAATTAACGTTGCTATCTAATGCCTTAGGAGTTTCAAGAAAAACTTGTAGCACGGGTAGTTGCTTTGCCGATTGATTTGGAAAAAACAGATGAGGGACAGCCGAGGCCGAAGCGGAAAACACGCTCTCCCCCCCGAGGTGCTCGGCAGCTGCCCTGCGCGCCCCCGGCACCCGCCAGGCACCCCCGAGCCCCGCTGGCAGGGAGCGTACTCCCGGCCGAAGCGCACGAAGCCTGCCGCGCTGCGAAGCGAGGCTTGCAGGGGTAAACCGGGAAGGGCCGCAGAAATCGTCCCGTCCCGTCCCCCC